ATGCAAGACTAGAAGGTAGAGGAGAAGTTATAATTTGAATGTTTATTGAGAGAGAGAGAGAGAGAGAGAGAGAGAGAGAAGACAGCCCAGGGCACAGCCTTGGGAGAAATTCGTGATAGTGGGTGTGACCTGTATGTAGGTCTAGTAAAGGAGACTGAGGAATGGTCAGATAGGTAGGAGAACCAGGAGAGAGCAGTGTCATGAAAACCTCGAGAGGAGAGAGTATCAAGAATAGAGTGACCAACAGTGTCAAAGGCTGCAATGAGGTCAAGAAGAATGAATTTGGAGAAAGGCAGCTAGCTTTGGCAGTTAAGGCATGGTGTTATTGGCTTTGAAAGTCCAGGAGAATGAGCTCCCAGAGTCCAGGTTAGTCAGTCTTATAGCATAAACCCAAGGAATAACCAGAATCCAGCCCCGTAGTAGAATGACCCTGTAGCCAAGATGCCAGGCCCTAGAGGAAGGGACTTGTCCATGGGCTATTCACTTTCAGATATGAACTTGGTGGGGCAAATACATTGTAGAAATTATTTATGTTTAAACCTACTTTCCCTAGAATCAACGTGATATAGTGGATAGTGAGCTCCCAGGTATTAGTGGTGGTTGGGGGGAAAAGGGGAATATTTATACTTCTCTTCTTGATGTATCTTCTCAGTAAATCTCCTGTTGCAGAAGCTATTTGATCAGGGCAGCTGGGTGGTATAGTGGATAGAGCCAGACTCTGGAATCAGGAGGACTTGAGTTCAAATCTGACCTCACACACTTACTAGCTGTGTGACCCTGGGCAAGTTGCTTAATCCTGATTGCCTCCAAATAACAAAAGCAAAACAAAAAGCTATTTTATGCTACTTGGTTAAATCATATTGGATCACTAATAATGATGGATATTGGAGAGAATACATCAGAATGGGGGCTTGAAGCAGTGGTGTTAGCAATAGATACCCCATGCCCTGAGGAGCACTTCTAGAACCCTAATGGGGAGATCAAGGGAACCTTTCTCAGGGAAGCTGACTTGCTAAATGTGCATGTTCGTTTGCTAGGAGAGTCTCACTACGTTGATGTATTTTTTTCTGTGTTCTTTTAGAAGATATCCTCTTGTCCTATTCAATACAGCTAGGTCCTTATTAGTATGAATGATGAATCCCATAAAATAGTTTCATTATTTGAATTTGCACTGTGTATTTCCATTGGGGTGGAACCAATGACCACATTTTACATAAATTATAATTTTAGATAGTGTGAATCCAAATAATACAACTACTTCATGGGATTCATTGGGACCTAGCTGTACCATGTATCAGTGCCTAGATTGCCCTACGAAACCTTGATTAAGGGCCTCCTAGGACAAAACTCTGCTTACATTCTAGCAAATTCTGAAAAGACGTGCCAAAAGAGAAAACCCAAGAGTACAACACGAGACAGAGGATGCACATCCGCATCTGCCTGCCAAGAGCCTGACTTCAAGGCTATTTCTCCCCAGTGGGATTCCACGCCCAGCCTCTATACTTCCTTAGCCCAAATGGGTGTTTAAGGAATGCACTTTGAGAAAGCTCGTGGTGGCAATGGTGATGACAGCCCAGTTCCTACATTCCCTGGCCTTTACCGGTGTTTCTGGGCCCACCAGCCTTGCCCATTTCAGGAAGGAAAATACTCCCTTTCTTGATTTGAGATAGGGAGCTGAGGGAGTGCTGATGAATGTTTTCACCAAAGGAGGAACAATCCATAATCCTTCTTGTAGCAGGAACTGGGAAAACTGCAAACCCTCGAGGTAAAGAATAATGGGGCTTGAGGAAAGGACAAATCCTGAGGGGCACGCTTTCTTCAGTTCTGTAAGCCAGTGTCAAATTATTAAGGCCTGATGGATCACTGTGTTATGGGATAATTGTGCCCTTGAACTGAGAACTACAGCAGCCCTGTCTGCAGATAGTTCTGCTGAACCTCGTTTTGTAAACAATGCAAGATTTGTCTTCAGAGGCCACAGGCTTAGCTCCTTTTGGGTACATGTTGCAATCACTACCCTTCTTTTCCTCTACATAATCTTTAGCACAATGAATGCATTTAACTCTCCTGGATGGGGTTTTCAAGAGCAAGCTAGGGCAATACAAGCAGGTAGAGAGGTATTCAGAGGGATTTTTGAAATTATATTTTTGTCTTGCTATGACAAAGTTCTCTCAAGTTTTAATGGAGAACTTTACAGTATTACTAGTAGGTAATTACCATGGAAATTATAGACCAGGTTTGAATGTTGAGAGTGAGAAATTATAGGTAATTTCTGGTATTTTGGTCCAGTTTCTATGGTAATAGGAATAATTGGGAATTAATTGCCTGTTGTTGCCATGGTTCTTTATGATAATTCCAGGTTGTTAATGCTGAAAACACCCAGGATTATATTTTCCTTATGACTCTGGTGCTAGCTTGATGTCTTGAAGGACACTTGGGTTTTGTAACCTCATTTTGTCCATTGTAACTACCTAAGGCCACATCTAATCAAATCAAGGAGTACCCTTGCTTTAGAAAGAGGAAGGAATGGCCTCTTTTCATTAAATTGCTGTGATCTGTCTTTCAATGTTCCTTGTTAATTTGTTGGTGTTTTCCATTTACAACTAGGACAAAATTATAAGTATTAATGAATATCCTTAAATGAGGAGATCTGACTGCTTCAGGAAAAGCAAATGTAGAGCAGCAGGAAGAAGTCACGTTGTGGGAGCTGGGAAATCCGCAAGTGTTATTGCCTCACTTTGTTGACTACCTGGAGAAGAGAATCCCGGTTGGCCTATTAAGCGAGCCAGCCAGCCAGCCAGCCAGCTTTGCTCATAAATGTAGGACTAGGATCAGGGAGTTGACATGAAGTGACTGATGCCTTCTCTGAAGCCTGGAACTAAGGAAGATTATTGTGAGGAAGACCAATTGGCTCAAAGGGCAGAAAAAGGAGTAATGGGTTACAAGTGACAGAAACAAAATTAGACTTCATGTGAGGAAAAATTTCGTGACAATTAGAGCTTCCTCAAAATAGAGTAGACTACTGCAGAAGATAGTGGGTTTCCCTTCACTAAACATCTTCAAGTGAGGGCTAGATGCCTGTGTGACCTTGGACAAGTCTCTTGAGCTCTTTGATCCCCAGGCTGGCCTTGTCTGTAAAATGAGGGGTTTGGATTAGATAGTCTCTGAGGTTCCCTCCAGACACCAATCTATGGTCTTGTGATCCTAGGACTTACCTGGGATGTTCAGAGGGTCTTCCCCTTAAAGTATGCATTAGACTAGATAGCCTAAAGTTATGTGATTGTGAAATAAGGTCTTAGTCATAATACTGTTGTGTTTAAGAACCTCCCTAGACACTCGAAGTTATAGTTTCATACTATAAGTTATATACCTGGGACATCCAGTTACACAGGGAAAATCCCCTGGGTACTCAGCCAGTCCTTAGGTAACCAACTGGAGTGTTGCTAGTACCTGGCGCGCAATAGGTATTTAATACGTATTTGTTGACTGTCTGATTTTGCTACTTCTTGAAGGGTACTGTTTTGATGAAGTGCCTTTTCCTAGTATTATATAATAGGATATAGAGTTGAAAGGGACGTTTGCAGTTATCCAGTTCAATGTTGTTACCTTACTCAGGGCCATCAAGGTTAAGTGATTTGTTCAGGATTATACAGATTGTGTGTAAATCTTTGAATCTGTAGGATTTGAACCCAGGCCTTCTGTGATACGAAATCATTACTCTTTCCACTATTCTATGTAGTGCAGAAGAATTGCCTCTTGGCTGGTAGTCCTATGAGGACATCTCGTTCACAGTAAGATGACTGGCTAAGATAAGGGATTCAATCTGTGTATGTTGTTTTGGGTCTGCAGAGCTTTGGAAACTGTGCCCTTACCAGGACTTTTGATGAGAAAGGCACTTTCACATGACTTTGACTGAGTTTTGACTACTTATCCAGGAGCTAGGGATGTAGACATTTATAGATGGGCCCACATTTATTTGCTTTGCTGTGAGATAAGGAAGTCTTTCACTGTTATATTTTGATGTTAAGGGAAACAACTATTAAGCTCAAATTCATCATTGTCTCTTATTTTTAGAAAGTTTTTGGTCCATGACTGTTGAAGTTTTCAGTGATTATTAAAAATTCTCTCCCTGGCAGTTGGGCACATTGAGTACGCTTGCACTTAATACATTGGCTTGACGGGTTGAGCATTTTATTTGCTAGAGGTTAACCTTGGCACAACGTTGGACTGGGTGGGCCACAAGTCTGACCTAGTGTGCCATATCTCATTTTCTCATGTAGTAAAGTCTTTCAGTTTTAAGTTCTCTCCTTCCAAATCATTCTACACTTGGCTACTGTATCAGTTTTCCCACTGAACAAGTCTGATCATGTCAGTACTCTGCCCAGAAACATTTGTTGCTTCTCCATTGCCTGCCACTGCTTATTACCTGTGCAACCCTGTTCATAAACTCCTTGGGCCTCAGTCTTTTCATCTTTCAATGAGAGAGTTAGACTGGATGACTTCTAAGGTCCCTTCATGCTCTAAATCTATGATCTTATAAGCCTTATATCCTGGTGTTCCAGGTTCTCCACAGTCTGGTTTCAGCCTCCTCACCCAGCCTTCTCTACCTCAGTTCCCCATCAAATACCTCCCTGTCTAGCCAAACCAGAATATTCTCCATCTCCTGAACTCTATTTGAAAATGGTCACCTCCTTGACTTTGTTCATATTGTTCCTTATACCTAAGACCTATAAATACCCTACCCATCCTTCAAAGAAGAATGAACAGTCTAGTTTTCCCCATAATCTTTACTGATTCTCTCAACTAAGGGGGTTCTTTACTTCCTTTGATTTTCTAATACCTCCTCTTATGCACAGTGTTGTGTATGTGTGTGTGTGTGTGTGTGTGTGTGTGTAAAAATATATGTCTTTAGCAAACAAACCCATGTGTCCGAGTAAACAGCAAAACACAAATGAGAGAAAATATACATAGAATATACCCCAGACTATACAGAGTCAACAGTCTCCCATTGGAAGCAAGTTTACTCAGCTCAGTCAAGAGATAAAATCCCAGATCTTATCCAAAGGGGAAAATTCCTCAAAGTCTCTAGTGTAGCAAAGCTGGTAATAAGGACATGATTGAAGTTCTCCATGTTAGCTTCTTTCCAGCCTCTTGTCTCCTTTCAGCAGCCTGAAGAGAATGCCATTACCAGTGTCTTCTCTCTGGAAGCTGGAAGCCAGAACCAAACCTAAAGATAATTGTCTGCATACCTGCCTCATCCCTACTACTATCTTATTAGTTGCTTGAGGGCCAGGGCCTTTGACCTCTTTATTATCTCTAGATTCCTTGAGCTCCTAGCCTTACTCATAGCAGAGCATTTAAATGTTTAATTAATGAATTAATATAACTAGAACTAGCTTTGTATCATTTACCCGTTCAGATGTTGGTCTCAGTGTAATCTTCTGAATCTAGGAGTCTCAGAAAACATTATTTTTTTTTCTAGGAAGAACCAAGTAGGAAAGTTTTTTCCTGCTGCTAGAGGTGGTAAAGTGGCTCAGTGGATAGTATGATATAGCATGGTAGGCCTGGAGTGAGGAAGACTTGAGTTCAAAATGGGCCTCAGACACCTAATAGCTGTGTGCCTGAGCAAGTCACTTAACCTCTGTCTGCCTTAGTTTCCTGACCTGTAAAATGGGTATAATAATAGCAATTACCTCTCAGGTAGGGATCAAATGAGAATATTTCTAAAATGCTTACCACAGCATTTGGCACATAGTAGGTGCTTAATAAATGCTTGTTTATTTCCTTCCTCATGGAAACCAGAGAATATTTCTATTTTAAGAGTAAGACTATACTTAAAAAAAAAAGAGCTGACGTGCTTTGTTTCCCCTTGTTGAACAAATCTTCCTCAAAGTACTCTGAAAAGTTGGTCATAATAGAGACTTGATTCATGGCTTCTGACTGTAGTTAGAAAAAAAGTTACTGAGTGGTGATAAAACTTGGTGTTTTGTGTTTATGGGAGTCTGACAGTAGAAGATAGCTAAGCTAAACTAAGTTTTTGAGAAATGAGCTACTTTTTTTCTTTTTCTTTTAGCTCCTCTGTCTTCTGAACTTGAATACAATAGAGTTGGGCTGTATTACCAATTGAGAGCTTTGCAAAGGGATGAGAAACTAGATATTTGATAACATGGTTATGATGCTAAAAAAGGGAATTCTCTTAATAACATCTCAATAGAGAAATGGAGTGAATTGTCCTTTTAGTTTAAGTGCAAATCTCATTAACATTTGCAGGAGAATGAGAGGATGGTGATAATTTCTAAACCAAATTTGAGGGAGATTCCATAATTTATTCTCCCGCTTATGACCCTAGATACATAAATAGATGAAGTATTTATTAGGTAGTGCAGTGGATAGAGTGCTGAACATGGAGTCTGGAAGATATGAGTTCAAATTTAGCCTAAGGCACTTAATAGCTGTGTGAGCCTAGGGAAGTCTCCTCTGTTTGCTTCAATTTCCTTATATAAAATGAGGATAATAACAGCACCTACCTCCCCGCGTTGTTGTGAGGCTAAAATAATACAGTATATGTAAAGCCTTTTGCAAACCTTAAAACATGATATAAATGTTAGCCCTAGTCAACAACAACAACAACAATAACAAACTATCTGCCAAGGGTCATGCTAGATGCTGGGAATACAAATACAAGCAGACAAGAAAGTTCCTACCCTCAAGCAGCTTACATTCTAATAGTGGAAGATAACACAGAAAGGGAGCTACAAAGGAAGGGAGAGAGAGGATACACAGATGAGGACAAAGCTACTGTAGGAGAGGTGGGGAAATCCAGACGGTGATTAAGATGGGAGTGAGGCCTGCTTGGCTGGGGATTCTCATGATGGAGGATTGGACTGAGGACTCACTAATCAGAAGCACCTCAAGGCAGAGGCATCTCAAAGGGGGAGGATAAGTAGGGGTGGGTAAAGCTACTCAAGAGTCTTTGGTTCTATTAAAGAAAGAAGATTTGGTCTATAAAGTTACTTCTGAGAGGGGAGCTTGCCAGGATTGTGTCTACAATGTATCACTAATATGCTAATCCACAATCATGGATCACTCTGCCTTGTCTTTTTTCTCTTTCTGCTCCTAGATCACAGGAGGCTTCAAGAGGAAAGCCCAGAACCATGAAGGCTTGATATACAAATTCACTCTATCCAGCTGCAACAGGGCTCTTTCTGCTGTCCAATAATCCTCAATAGTTTGCTTATTCCTTATCTATTACAAATATTCTGTTTCCTCTTTAAGCCCAAATTCTATAGACCTTCTGGCTGTCACTCTTAATATATAATCTCACCTTCCTGTTTACTGAGAAAATCAAGGTCAAGTGGCCCCAGGTCCTCAATCTGCCCCTACCTCCACTTCAGCATTCCCACTTTGTCTCTGTCTCTCTCTCTGTCTCCCTCTCTCTGTTTCCTTCAGTCTCTCTCTCTGTCTCTGTCTCTATGTCTCTCTGTGTGTGTGTGTGTGTGTGTGTCTCTCTCTCTCTCTCTGTCTCTCTCTCTGTCTCTCTCTCTCTCTCTCTCTCTCTCTCTCTCTCTCTCTCTCTCTCTCTCTCTGTCTCTCTCTCTCTCTCTCTCTTCATGGGTTGTATGAGATGTCCTTTGAGATCCTTCTAGCTCAGGTAGTTTGTGATTCTGTGAAGCCAAATCCCCTTAGAAGGTGGGAAGGAATGGCTTTTAAGGCATAGATTGAAGTTGATTTCAGGGCAATGTCAAAGTTGGATAGAATGGATTTGTATATAGAGTCTGACTTTCCTCTTGCAGTCTCCTGTGATCTAGAAGCAGGAAGAAAGAAAACAGACAAAATGGACTGATCCATGAATGTACCTCCTTTCCTTCCCTCCTTCCTTTCTCCTCCTCCTTCCCTTTTTCCTTTTCCTCCTTCTCCTCCTCCTCCTCCTCTTCTGCCTCCTCCTCCTTCTATTTCATTGTACCCTTCCTTCCAGTCTCATAGGAAGGAGTGCCTTGTCTCTTTAAATCTGACCCTCCACCTATGCCTTAGAGGCCATTCCTTCTAATTTTCTAAGGGATTTTGCTTCACAGAATCACAGACTATCTGAGCTAGAAGGGACCTCAGAGGACATCTTGTACAACCCACACTGGAACAAGAATCCCCATGTCATACTTAACTTAAAGAACCTTCCCGCACCCCAATGAAGAGAACCAATTGCCTCCTGAAGCAATTTTTTGATCTAATTGATCTAAAGGTTTTACTTACTTTCAGTCTTAATATGCTTCTTTTCAACTTCCAGGCCTTTTCTAGTTTTTTCATCTGTGGCCAAGAACAAGTCTAGCTCTTCCATGTGATTGTCCTTTAAATACTTTAAAGACAGATATGTTCTTCCTCCTCCATCCTCCCACTCTACCCCCAAATAATTTCTTCTTCACGCTGAGCATCCGCAGTTCCCTCAATTCATCTTGGCATACTGGTTGCGCTCTTCTGGACATCTATTTTGTGTACGTCCTTCTAAAATGTTGTACTCAGATCTGAAAGAAGTACTCCAAGTGTGTTTTGAGTAGAGCAGAACTATTACCTCCATTGTTCTGGATACTATACCTCTCAATGGAGCCACGGTTAGCATTAGCTGGTTTTTTTTTTTTTTTGGTTGGGCAATGGGAGTTAAGTGATTCGCCCAGGGTCACACAGCTAGTAAGTGTTATGTGTCTGAGGCTGGATTTGAACTCAGGTTCTCCTGAATCCAGGGCCGATGCTCTATCCACTGTGCCACCTAGCTGCCCCGAATTAGCTGTTTTAATGGCCATCTTGACTCAGAGTGAGTTTATAATCCACTAAAATCCTCAGATTTTTTTTTAACATAAATGTCTGTCTAACCATGCTCTTCCATCTTCATGGAATCACAGAAATTGAGAATTGGAAGGGATCTCAGTGACTGTCCTATGTGAAAAGTGGTCATATAGCCTCTGCTTGAAGCCTCTCTCCTCCTCCTCCTCATCTTCCTCCTCCTCTGTAAAATGAGCTGGAGAAGGAAATAGCAAAGCATTCCAGTATCTTTGCCAAGAAAACCTCAAATGGCATCAGGAAGAGTGAGACACAACTGAAAAATGACTGAACAACAACATATTAAATTTAACAAGATAGTAACAAAGCTGTCCCATTTTGAACTTTTTTCCTGCTTTCTCTTTTGTGATGTTAAAAAAAAGTTTCACTGATTTTTTTTTTTTGCTACCTACTTAACCAAGTAGAAGTAGGGCTTACCCAGGTAAGCACAGTGGGCAGAGATAGAAGTCCTGTTTACTGCAGAGCATGCGTGTTCCCATGAGGGCCATCACGAAGGAAAGCTTTTGCACAGTACCTGGTTGATCTCATGGGGGCTGGAATTGTTAATCTCACCACAGGCATGAGGAGAGCTTGGCTAGTAATTTGAGTTCCTTTTCTTGTTTTTCTCCAACTACAGATATTCCACAAGGCTCAGCTTTTTTCTATACTTCTATACTCATTCTTTTTTCTATACTTCCCCCCCCACCTTTCCCCTAAAGTCAATCTCATGGCTTTAACTGTTATCTTTATGCTTATGCCTTCCAAGTCTATATTCCCCTTTTTGTCTTGCCACCTGAGTCATCTGTGTCTGTTTGCTGCCTTCAATATCCAGACCTCTCCCAGCTTCCATAAGATTTAAGCCCTCTTCTCTCCATCTTACCTCCTCCAATCCAGTGCAGTCATCTGAGTGACTGCTGTACCTGAAAAGGGGAAACCTGGCAAGGAAAATATCACGTCAATAATCCAATAGTCTAAAAGCTTCTGCCCCTCCTGGGTAATTCTCCTACCCCTTGATCAGTAAATTTGAACTTGTGTTTCCTTTCTCTCTTTAAGTCAGAACTACACCAAAATTTCTTTCCCTTGCTATAATGAGTATGCAAGAAAGAAAGAAAGAAAGAAAAATAATTAAATTTATACCTCCTTTAACTTTTTACATCTTTAACATCTTTTAATATTCAACATGACCTCCTTGTGCTGCAGTTAATTGTTTACAAGATTTGGCAGTGATTTCCTGAGATTTTGACACAAATACTGACACAAAGCCATACCTTTGTCCCATTGGATATTATTTGTACCTTTGACAAAACAGCCCATTTTTAAAGTCCAGTCTTGATTAGCCCATAGGTTTTCAGTGGGGTTTAAATCAGTCAAGTTCTGAGGCAATTGAATTTATCTCTTGGATAAGTTTGTCTCTCTTTTTTAAAAAAAATTATTTCATTTTCAATTCATGAAACAAAACAAGCATTTCCATAACACAGTACAATAAAAAAGATTACACATGAAACTGCAAATCTAGCATGCACAACTTGCATTCTTTCAAATATACACAAAAGTTATCACGTAAATTTTTATCCCTTTTTTTCTCCCCTTGCCCTAGAGATGGTTACTGTTGGACACAAACAAATATATATGTAAAATTATTCTATACATATTAAATATAAACATAAACTATAACATATAAATAGTATAATAAATTATATAAATAAATATTCTACACATTATTTTTAAAAAAAATTAAAATCACATTTTTATTTTCTGTTCTATATTCTCTCTCTTCCTCCATCCCCTCTTCCCCCTCTTGAGAATGCAAGAAATAAGATGCTTATTGTACATATATGGTTAAGCAAAATGTTTCCATATTAGCTATGTTCCCACCTCAAAAAAAACCCAAGAAAAATAAAGAAAGGGAAAAAAATTGCAATCTGAACTCTGAGTCCATCAGTTCTGGAGGTGGATAGCATTTTATATCATAAAGCCTTTGGAGCTGTGATGGATCATTGCATTGATCAGGGTTACTAAGTCTTTCACAGTTGGTTTTCCTTACAATATTGCTATTATTGTGTAGATTGTTCTGATTCTGTTTATTTCACTTTGCATCAGTTCATATATGTCTTCCCAGGTTTTTCTGAAACTATCTCCTTCATCATTTCTTACTACATATTATTGCATTATATTCATATACCATACCTTGTTCGGCCATTCCCCAGTTGATAGGTATCCTTTTAGTTTCTAATCCTTTGCTACTATAAAAAAGCTACCATAAATATTTTTGTATTTTATACTATAAATATTTTATATGTGGACCCATTTCCTTTTATGTGATCTCCTTAGGGTTTAGATTTAGTAGTGCTGTTGCTGAGTCAAAGGGTATGCACAATTTTATAGCTCGTTGGGCATAGTTCCAGATTGTTCTCCAGAATGACTGGACTATTTCACAGCTCTCAGCCAAATATTTTGATCTTTTGTGACTTGTAGAATGATGAAGATGCCCACCTCTTACAGCTCACATGGACTTCTAACAATGGTTTTAGCCTTGAATGAAGAAATGAATTTAATCGGGAAAAAGAACCTTTTCCTCTAAACTTCATTACTCTAGTCTTTGTATTTTCTTGCCTATAACAAATGTAAGAAGGATGGGAGAGCAAGGAAAGGGTTTACTATTTGGAAAAGGGTTAGGGATCATAACTTGTTTCTGCCATAACTGTTCCTTTCCTCCCTACCTTGGCCTGGAGGCCAAAGCATTTTTCAGCTGAAGCTGTTCCAGCTAGGGCTAACTCTCGGCTGTGTATTCCCATGGAACAGTGCCTACTTGTAGTTTGGAGTTTGGTAGCTTATCCCCTTTATATTTTAATGGTGAGGAGAGGATAGGATACTGTGGAAACAAGCAACATGCCAGACAGTAACTCTGGTCAATGCAATGACCAACCACAATAACAGAAGACTGAGGATAAAGCATGCTACCCACTTTCTGATAGACTTTTTTGGACTCAAAGCACAGAATAAGGAATACACATTTAAATATAGCCAATGTATGGGTTTACTTGACTATATTTATTATTTGTTCAGTCAACTGACAGGTATATGTTAAGTATCTCCCATATGTCAAGCACTGTACTAGGTACTAGCGATACAAATATGAAGAATGAAATAATCCCTTCTTTCAATGAGCTTGGATTCTAATGGGAGAGAAAAGTATGTATAAAATCTATACAACATAACTCTAAACACAAACGCACACAAATTATATATATAATATATATATATATATATACACACATACATAAGTGTATATACACAGACATAATTTACACACATAAAAATAGTTAAATACAGGGTTGTTTGGGAATGAGGGCACTAGTAGTTGCAATCAGAGAAGGCTTCATGTAGAAGATGGTGCATAAGTTGCATCTTAGAGGGAGTCTATGAAGTGAAGATTAGGAGGGAGTACATTCTAGGAATGGGGGACAGCCAGTGAAAAGGAATTGAAATGGGAGATGGAATATTATGTATGAAGAGAGAAAAGTCCAGTTTGACTGGAAGGCAGAATGTAGGAGGGGGTTTACTATCTAGTGAGGTTGAAAAGAAAGTCTTCAAAAACTAAACATAGGTGTTTTATATTTATCCTAGAAGCAATTGGAAGCCACTGGAATTTTTTTGAGTACAGAAGTCACATTGATCAGATCTGTGTTTAAGGAAAATTACTTTGGCAGCATTGTGTAATATGGACTAGAGTAGGGAGAGACTTGAGGTGGTGAGATCCATTAGGAAGCTATTGCAATAATCAAGGTGGGAGGCAATCAGAGCCTGAATGAACTAATGTGATTGCTGAGTAAGCAGAGAAAAGAGATCAGATGAACAGGATGTTGTGAAGGTAGAAATAACAAGATTTAGCAGCAAACTAGATATGTGAGGTGAGGGAGAGAGTGAAGAGTCCTGGATAAAGCTAGGGTCACAAAGCGGACAGACTGGAAGGATGGTGCTGCTTTTAGTAAAAGTAGGGACGTTTGCAATAGGGGAGGCCTCAGGGGGAGGAGAATGAGGTCAGTTTTAGACAGCTTAAATTTAAGATGTCTCTGGGACATACAGATTGAAAGTCCAGTAAACAGCGGGTGATTGCAGGGCTGAAGCTCAGAGGAAAGACTGGAGTTCAGTATCTGGCCCTGTGAGTCACCTGCATGGAGACAACATTTAAACCGAAGGTGCTGCTGATACCACGGAGAGAGCTTGTAGAAGGAGAAGCAAAGAGGAATCAGAAGGGAATTTGGAAGAATGCCCACAATTCCCTATTCACCCCCAGTTCTTGGGGAGGGAATTGGGAAGAGGGTTAGTACTACTGTTCCCCCCCCCCCAAAGTCAATCAGTCAGTAAACATGTATTAAGTGCCTACTATGTGCCAGGAACTGTGTTAAGCCAAGGGGATACAAAGAAAGGCAAAAGATAGTCTCTGCTTTCAAGGAGTTTGTAATCTAATGAGAGACAACATGAAACAAGCTGTCTATCCATCTATCTATCTATCCATACACACACACACACATACACACACACACACACACACCCAACAGAGGGAAGGCACTAGAGTTAAGGGGGTTTGGAAAAGGTTTCCTTTAGCAGGTGGGATTTTATCTGAGACTTGAAGGAAGCCAAGAGAGAGATGAAAAGAAAGCATTCTAGGTTTGGGGGACAACTACAGAAAATGCCTGCAATTGTGAGATAGATTGTCTTGTGGAAGGAAAAGCAAGGAGATCAATGTCACTGGATCACAGTCTTTATTGAGAGGAATAGGTATAAGAAGGGGGGAAGTTGGGATGGCTTTGAATGCAAAACAGATCATTTTATATTTGATCCTGGAGGTGACTGGAAGCCACTGGAGTTTATTAAGTAAGGGGGTTACATGGTCAGACCTGTGCTTTAGGAAGAACACTTTGATAGCTGAATGGACTAGAATGGGGAGAGAGCTGAGGTAGGCAGACTGTTTTAACAATCGAAGTATGAAATGCTGAAGGCCTGTACCATGGTGTAGAAATGTCAGAGGAGAGAAGAGGGCATATATGGGAGGTTTTATGAATGTAAAAGTGACAGGCCTTGGCAACAGATCGGATATGGGATTTGAGAGAGAGTGAACAGTTGAGGATGACACCTGGGATGAAACTGGGTGGATGGTGGTATCCTCTACAGTAATAGGGAAGTTAGCAAGAGAGGAAAGTTTTGGAGAAAAGTTAATGAGTTCAGGTTTGAACATGTTGAGTTTAAGATATCCAATAGGGAGTTAGAGATCTGAGACTGGAGTTCAGCAGAGAAGTTGGGGCTGGATCATCAGCATAGAGATGGTAATGGAATCTATGGGAGATGATGAGATTGGCAAATGAAATAATATAGAGGGGGAAGAGAAGAAGATCCAGAACAGAACCCTGTAGAATACGTACATTTAGCAGATGTGACCTGTATGAAGATCCATCAAGGGAGACTAAGAAGAAGTGTTCACATAGGTAGGAAGACAACCAGGAGATAGGAGTGTTATGAAAACCTAGAGAGAAGAGAGTATCAAGCAGAAGAGGGTGACTGACAGTGTCAAAGTCTACAGAGAGGTCATGTAAGACAAAGCCATTAGATTTGGTAATTAAGAGATTTTTAGTAATTTTGGAGGGAGCAGTTTCAGATGAATTGTTGAAGTCAGAAGCCAAACTGCAGATTTAAGAAGGGAGTGAGAAGGAAGGAAATGTATATACCTACTGTAAATTATCCTGAGAAAATGTTTGAATCCAGGAATTTCTCTTGTCTGATGTGAAAATATTAGAGCCCAATGAAAACTGTATGGAACCAAATTATGGGGTCTAACTGTAACATCCCAGTGAGATGTGACAACCCACACCTTCACTAATAGAAAGGCAGGATTCTGTGAATGTCTCAGGATCATTAGTGTATCTGAATCCCCATGAATGACAATCACTGTGGTTGATGATTGCAGGATCCTGGGCATGAAAGTCATATGGGATTCTGCATGGTGTCTCTCACTAACAGGAATCTTCTCTGTAAAGGCTACACAGACATTGTTTCTGGATATCTCTGTTCACATATCCCAGAAGAATG